CCCCCCCCCTTTTTTGCGAGAATAGCGGGCAGATTTGGGCGATAAAACATCTCGAGTCGCTCGATGGTGGGGCTGAGGTTGTTCACGACAAGACGCATTCGTTCACTGCGCACCTCACACTCCACCTCCTGGCCTGGGATCGCGATGTAGTTATTTCAACTAGCAACAGTCTTAGTGGCGAGCGAGGTAGGTTGGTCTAGATAGAGAGCGCGTTTTGAAGGCGGGCTGGCGGCATAACTCCGAAAGCGGAAAGGTTATGATCACGGTGAGTTCGTCGATTTTTTGTTCTCAATTCCTCCCGACTCGCACCGTATCGGGCACCCATGATCACTTCTTTGGGGGGGCGGGGGGGGGGGCAGATCGATGATGTGGTGGATGCGTCCCCGGTGCACATGGGCTGCGGAATCTGGGGCGTGCTGGCGGCCGGCCTGTTTGCCGAGAAGGACAACTACGGCGAGTCGTACTACAGCGACAGGCAGGGAGACTGCTGCGGGGCCTTCTACGGGTGAGCGAGCATCCACCACAAAGGCTGGCCGCGATGAGGTTTTCGAAAGGAGTTCCCGGGTGTCATCAAGTCAGTCGTTCTCCTCTGATCGTCGTGGTCATGGCGGTTATTTGTTTTTGAGCTTGAAGTACAAGGCCCGAGTCGGTACACACTGCTGGGATGGCGGCACGCCTGTCGATCTCGGTGACTGAGAGCTCGCTTTTCTGCTCACCCCAAGCCCGCTGCCCCCGAAAAACGATTGTCGCAGGTGCGGAGGCAACCAGTTCGCGGCCAATCTGATCTTCGTGATCGCAGTTTTGGGCTGGGCCGGATTCTGCTCCTTCCTCATGTGAGTTGTTTCGGTTCATCTCATCATGCCCAAGCTGTGCACCACTTGAGACTGGTCTGGTGACTTTACAGATGTATTTAGTCTCGCCAAGCGCAAGCAACGCCTTGTCTTGTCCTAAGCATCGTATTCGTCTGCGTGCTGAACTTGTCTCGACAGCACGTTCTCGACAGACGTTCTCGACAGCACGTTCTCGACAGCACGTGTCATTTTCGAAGGCTTCGATACTGAATATACGGACGTCGGCCGCCAAGAGGTCGGGTGCTTCAAGCATTAGTTGCCTCTGCTGCACTCACGAATATTCTTCTCGTCCAGACGTACTTTGTTGAGAGCCTCACTCGCGTTTGTACGGATGGGCGTGCTATACTTTCATGACCTTTTCCGAAACGCTGCTCGCAGTTGTGACCTGTTTAGCAGGTTTCGTGTGTGTTTATGAATGTGTACCAGGCACGAACGAAATTCATTTCATTTCGCCAGTGCGGAAGGCTCCCACCGTCGTACCGAGACCTGATTCGAACAGATAGCAACGCAACTTTTTTGCATGCCTAACAATTGTCTCGAAATTGTCGATTGCATTACTAGTTCAAGCCCTCGCTACCTGCACGCGGGACACCCGAGTCCTCCCGCGCGCCCCTGCTCCACGCGTTTTTTTGTACTCGTTGCCCTGCACCTTTGCTCGTCGTGGCCTCTTTTGGATTTGGTTTGTCACAGGTTCACCTTTGCCAAATACACTGTCGGCCTGCGTGTCTCTAAGGCGATCGAAGACATCGGCATGGTGAGGAGCAAAATGCCGTCGCCCGTATAAGATACCCTTGAAAACCATTTTCTTCTCGAAATCTGTCGAGTGTGTAGGGCACCCGTTGGTAGATGTAGTTTGATTTTAAGGGTGGCGTGCGAATAGTATTGAAGCATGTCGGGCATGATTGTACCGGCACGGTGAAGAGTCATAAGCGCGCGCCTCGTCTACCTTCGTTGTCGATGTAGCAGTCTAGAGGTCAAGATGATACACAGTCAGCATACAGCCCAAGACTTTGCTGCTTGCAATCCGCGTTCTGATGCCCCGCACGGTGTGTCCGTTTCGCTGTGTTTCTCGGCCCCGAAGTAGTGTGAGGACCATGATGTTTAGGTCGTACATATTTTTGTTGCAGCGGCGTTCGTTTATTTGACATTATCTCAAGGCTCTGATGTGACACCCGTTCTCCCTCTCTCTCTCTCTCTCTCTCTCTCTCTCTCTCTCTC